TATATATATATATATATATATATATATATATATATATATATATATATATAAACCAAAGGATGCTAATACAATTTCAACTAGATGAAAAGTGAAGATATAAAAGAAACCAACTAAAACGAGTTCTTTTGGAAACATTAACTTACAATTTTCTGATTTTTTGTTTTTGGTATATGGAAAAAACACGTTTTTAATTCGTAAAGCGAAGGTTGTTCTTGTAACATTAGGTTAATTATCATTTTTGCCGGTAATTACTTATTAAATGACTTGATTGCATAAATATGTTTTAGTTTACAATTTACACAAATAATGCATAGAACTTAAACTCTTAGAGCATGTTTGTCCATAAAAAAAGTCTCACTTTTTTTGAAAAAAATTCATTTTTTTTTCGAAATCAGTATGTGGCCATGAAATTTAAATTTCACTTAAAGTTGAATTTGGGAAATTTTCGTAAATTTGAAAAACTCCAAAAAGCTATTTTTCAAAATTTTCACTTTAGATCGTTCACAAAAATTCAAAAATAGATCCAAGTTGTATTCATGTCCAAAGACAGCTATAATTTTCAAACACCATTCTCCCTTGAATTTTTTTTTCCCTTTGTCCTGCAAATTTCATAATTGTTATGTCCAAACGTCCACTTAATCATTTAGGTTACAAATGAAAGTTTATTAAATAAAGTTACATACAAATATCTTTTTAAATGTCTTGATTTTATAAATATTTCTTAGTATAGAAGCAAACAATTACTTACCATATTTGCGTCCTAGAATCATGTCAATCAATGGTCCATAAATATCCATATAAGCAATTCGAGAACCCAATTTTGCAAATCTAATTTGCATGGCATTTAGCTGGTTTTGGAGCTTGGAATTGTAGTCTCGAGCAATTGACGAAAAAAAATCAGCACAGTCACGCTTTGTAAATGCATTATCTGAGTGAAGTGTGATAACTACCGGTAAACAACCCATTGGTGGTAGACCTACTACTCCAATTTTCCTAGCCCCCTGATCCAACAATTCCTGCACACAATTAACTTAAAAAATTAAGGTGCTTCCGAGTATCTGTACTGGTGGGAAGTAGCAGGTATTCCATGAAAAGTCGAGATGCATGTAAGATGATTCGGACACCACAGTTATAGGGCACCCCGGTGCACTAAGCTCCCGCTATCTGCGGGATCTGGGGAAGGGCCGGACCACAAGGTCTATTGTACGCAGCCCTACCCTGCATTTTTGCAAGAGGCTGTTTTTACGGCTCGAACCCGTGACCTCCTGGACACCACAATTATAAAAAAAAAAAAAAAAAAAATTAAGGTGCTTCCTTAAATGCGTAATTATTTGGCTTAGTCAAAGTAGGTGGTGAAACCTGCAGGAAGAGTTGGACATGTTGTAATAAGAAGTCAGTGTAAGATGAGAGGGAATAGCTTTTACGACGGATTGGGATTGTGTTGTAATTGACCACAAAATCATTTGTGCCTGCACTAATAATGAACAGTGCTTCTTTTATCAAATTCTGCATTTGCTCTTTCCCTATAGTTGCTTCCATTTTCTCTTGATACTCCTTAAAATATTCTAGCTGCTTTGATAATGAGATCACATTCTGTATATACACACACACAAAATTAGGAAAATTAAGTAACAGAAAGAAAAATACTCAGGTTGAAAATACCAAGCTGAAAATCATGAAACTAGTAGGACAAATGAAATCAATATAAAAAATAAAAAAAAACAATCGCGCGCATCCTATTAAATCTTGTATAGTCAAATATCTTTAAAACTATTCGTAATAACAAAATTTTACTACAACGGTCAAGTTTTTTTGAAACCTATTTTTCATGTTACTTATATTTAGGGACGGATGCAACATGGAGTTATCGGGTTTATTAACTGAACTCAATCTTTCGGCGCGAAGCATAAATTTATCTGTAAAAATCACTAAAAATTGTAATAAATAGTAGATATGAACACATAACTTTAAAAATATAATGGATTCAATGCTAAAAACTTAAATATTAAACCCATAAAATTAAAATCCTAGACCCGCCTCAGTTTATATTATATGTCTCTATAATAGCATTTCGCTATATATAGCAGCCAAAAAATATTAGGGCAAACGATGATGTTATAGAGTGGTTTGTATATGTATATATTTGGATTAAATCAATCACAATCAAGTAAACCGGCCGTGTGTGTTCTTGGCCAAGTATATTAATATCAGAAGAGTTTAAGTTCTTAGTGCACTGACGGTGTAAGATATACTTTACACAATTAAGTTACTTAAAAAGCAATTACATATAACTTTATTTAATTAATATTAATTGGTAGCTTAGAATAAATTGTAAAAAGTAGTTATAACATATTAAATAATCACATTGACATTGTGAAATTTTTACACTAGCGTAAATTCATATTAGAAAATATTGAAGTGTGTGACCATCTTATTTAAAAGCTTAAGCTGTTAAAGAAAACACACTTTTATTTACTACAGAAAAATTCCCATACCTAAGAACACAAGTAGAGCTTTGAAAAGGAAATATGGTGTAAGGGAAGGAAATGAGATAGATAGAATTTTAACACTTATTGTTGGTGTGAGGGGATCGAATCCAGTTCCAGCAGATGCAAAACTAACTCCACTCTTGAGCTCTTCAATACTTAAACTTGGATCCAAATATGGAGGCACATATTCTTTCACACCAACATACCTAGCTGCATTCAAACACAAATTTCAAGCACAATGTAAGAAATACTAATTATATATGCATAGGAGGATCTAAAGCAAATTATGCAGATTCAACTGAATTCATTACTTTCGACTCAAACTATGTAAATATATATATGCAAAAAAAAAAAAAAATTAATATGTGTACACATAATTAGAAGGGGAGCCTTGGAGCAATGATAGAGTTATCTTTGTGAGACCTATATGTTACGGGTTTGAGCTGTGGAAGCAGCCACTAATGCTTGGTACATTTGTCTCTGTGTGACCTATAGGTCACGCGTTCGAGCTGTGGAAGCAGCCACTAATGCTTGCATTAGGTAGGCTGTCTACATCACACCCCTTGGGGTGCGGCCTTTCCCCCAACCCTGCGTGAATATGAGATGCCTTGTGCACCGGACTACCTTTTTATTTCTATTTTATTAATGAGATAGACATTCATTCTGAATCCACCGACCCTGCATATATATAATTGTTGCTAGAGTAATTACCAAAGAAATCGCTAGCAAGCATTCCATTAGTAAACCTTCCAGTTGGAACATGGTTAGCAAAATCCCTCCCATAAGGTGAAAAATTACTCTTGAAAGGAGTTGTTATATAGTTATTATTTCCAGGATCAGCTGTTGAGTCTCCAAAGATAAAAATGGCTGAAACTAAGCTCTTCCCTTGAGCTTGAGTTGGAGCTTCCAACATGAAAAAAAGAAAAAGAAGATGCAAAAGTACAAGAAAAAAAAGTGAAAGATGCATTTTAATTAGTGGTTGATCAAGAAAACTTTGGAAGGCCTATATATATGGATAATGAATTGTATACAAAGTTTCATTCCTAGGGCTTTATTTGACGTCCTTTAACAAGGAGTGATATATATATATAATGACTAATTAGTAAGGAAATAGATAATTAATTATGTTGGATTTGTTTCGTGTATTTCTAGTGTTGCAATTTGTTCTTATTGTTTGATGGACCAAACACTCCCAACGTTCTTTAAAGTTTCTCAACCACTATTCCTGCAGTAAGAAACTGCAGGCAAGAAATAGTTAAGAGTTTGGTGAAGTGCCAATATGAAACTAACTTGTCTCAAACTATATACTCTTTTTGAATTTTGATGGACGGTCACTAGGGTGTTCAAATCGAACTGGAAAATCGCACCAAATTGAAAAATCAAACCAAACCGATTTAAAAACCCGACTAGGTTTGGTTTGATTTGGTTTGGTATTGAGTAAAAAAATCCGAACCAACCCAACATATAAATATATATTTTTTATATATACTTTTAAGATTTTAGACAGAATTTTCTTTAGAAAATGTCTAGAAATATTTGGAATTCTTATTGAAATGCGTCAATCTCTATTTTCTTTATATATTCATATATCAAAATCTGTTAAATTCGTATACCTTTTCTGAATTTGAAATGAAGTTCGATAATATTAAAATTAAATAGAATGTATCATTATTTAGGTTTCATATTGATTTTATGCTTAATTATTAAATTCAATAAACCTTGAAAGCGTACATCAACGAAAAATTATTGTTAGACGACTAAGAAAATAACTATCATGTGTTACTAAAAAGATTCTCCCACAATAATATTTTAATAGATCATATATTTGTCAGTTTTTTCAATTTTTACTAAACACATATTCACTTATCAAAACTTCATCTTAACTTTAACGAAGTAAGATTGAAATAATATTCATGTAACAGAAAAATCCGACAAAACCGAACTTGGTTTTGATAAAAAACCGAACCAACCGGGTCCATGTACATCCCTAGTGGTCACTATAGAATTATTCATGGAATGTGTGCATGGTTCAGGCGGAACCAGGATTTGAATCTTATCGGTTTGAAATTCTAAATCTTTTAATTTATCGGGTTCCAAATTAATAATTTATATATATTCAATATATTTTTTAAAATAAATATATGATTTGGACCAAACCATGTTGCTCGCAATGTAGAAAGCTTATAGGAGTACCATTCTTTCGAATTTTCAGTTCTTTGCATAGAGCTTTAAAATTCACTTTCAATGAATTTTGATTAATTGTACTTTGTTTGGGTGTAAACAAGTCTCACATTAAAAAAAAAAAAAAAACTTTATCCTAGTCTTTAGTGGTCTATATTATACTAGAATGGTCTGCCCGTGCAAACACATGAGTTGCTTTATCTTTGACAATTTTTATCCAAAGTAATAATGAACAAAAAATTGTGCCACCTGTCTGCTCATGCCTGCAAGCATGATTGTGCCACCTGAAAATTCCCAATTCTTGCAAAAAATTATTAAAATGCAATAAGCTTCATATACTGCGCACTTTATTTTTCAATTGAGCAGATAGCTACAACAAGGCTAAAAGCAGTAACTAATACTACAACAAAGGAAGAAAGGGTTCATCTCCATGAAATTATTATTACACCTAATGGAGGAATGTAAAATCATTCTAGTATCTATACACAAACTTGACTCTTGCAAAAACTACTTTCAACACTACCTAGGACATGCACATTAGACAAATTGAAATACTCGCTTTAAATACTTCATTTGTATCTATGTTATGCAAAAGTGATAAAGTATCAAGTAAATGTTTCTCTTTCTGTTTCACTGCATGATCTATGAAAATTTTAGAACAATTACTATATCTATCAAGAAATTAAGTTGGTCAACTAAGATCATAGATAACCATTAATTTTTTTGTTCACAAATCAGAAGGTAAAATAAAATAAGAGTTTTCAAATACCGTCTTCATTTGAATTAAAAGTTCTTGAAAAATATATTGAAGACTTTTTTTTAATATATATATATAAAGTTGCCCAAACAGCAGTCTAGGTTGTGTTGTATTCAAAAAAGCGCAAGAGGGGGGCTAGGCCTGACCTAAAAGAAAAGAACGGTGATGCAATCACCCCCAAAAGAAGAACATGAGGTTCATATATGTACACCCTCCTTCCTGAGACCTATGAACAAAATTAACTAACAAAGAAATTAGATTTTTCATACTTTGTTCTTATACTACGAAGTTCCATTTATCTAGGAGAAAAGGTCCTTTTGCGCTGTTAAGTAATTCTAGGAATGACTGATACACCCTTCTCTGATTTGTGGTGGTAGCCAATTTAGCAAGACAATCCGCTACCTGATTCCCTTCTCTAAAGCAATGCCCGACCGTAGCTCTAGTTTGTTTAATTATGAAGGAGGCTCTGTCTATCATGAGGGGACCCAGTGTGAAGGGGTAAGTGTAAACACTTAAAAACCCCTCCACGTGAGTAGTAATGCTTTCCCCGGGGCTTGGGATCTGAACCACGACCTCATCTCCCCAACCACAGTCCTTCTTCACATCTTTAAGATGCTCCTCCGATATCAAACTAAGATATCGAGATGCATGCTCGCATTGACCTGGGACATCAGGGGGATTTTCAATACTAAAGTCCTTCTTAATCACGCAAGGACCGAGGGTGATTTCTTCAAGAGTCGGCGGCACCACCGGTTTTGCCGGCTGAGAGGTAGAAGAAGTCAATGCTTTATCTTTTTTGGGGACCGTTTTGGAAGTTTTAGCCATGATTTCAAACTAAAGGATACAGACTGTGTCGGAATGTGGTATTTTTACAAGAACCCGGCGTTTTCCGACGCTTAAAGAGGCAGTGGAAACAGGTGATTAGAGAAAGAGATAAAGAAGGGAAAGATGTAATGAAAGAGTAGAATTCTTTACTCAAAGGAATAGCCTCATATTTATAGGAGGACAACGATGGTTCGGCGGCACTAGTGGCCGACCAGTACTGGCATACATTTAATATTTTGGGGAAGCGAACCGATGGGACGTTTCAGTCACTTCGAGCGCCTGCGTCATAGGGATGGCATCATCATGATGGGCTCCGAAAATCGAAGTTCTAATCGTTTCTTATCATCTTATTCTAAGAAACGCGGGGACTATCTATATACAATCAAAATCAGAGGCCTCCGATTTACAGGATCGAGGGTCTGTCATAGGCCCGAGTTCAGGCAAGGTCGAGTTCGAGACCGGTGGACCAGAGGCAAGCTCGAAGACAGAGTGCAATGCCCGGAGATAGGGTACGAGGAATACCAGGACCGAGTATACTCGACCCCGAAATAGTACCTTTAGGAATTTGTAACAGAATGAGCTAGATTCCTGCCACGTCCCCATAATCGTGGCACAAATCCCGAAACAAGATTGTACGCTTCCGTACTAGGCGGTTAGATAGCTGTATCAAGAATATTCCCTATTGTAAATTGAAATATTAGGTTTCCCCTATAATATAAAGGGGACCCCAATCATTTGTAAGATCATTTGATCACTGAGAAAAGAATATATTCTCTACTTTTGCCTACTATTCATCATCATCGTCCTTTAGCTCTACTGTTCTTAATTTACTTATATTTTATTGCTATTAGCCTGTCTCGAGGTCACCGTCTCGAGGTCGCTACTGCTGAATTACGTTGGTTTGATTCACTAATTTCTTTTATCTTTACTTCTTATTTCTTGATTACTAATTGGTATTGAACTGAATCACATATCTTTAAAACCACAAATCAAATTTAATTGTTACTCATATTTTCGAGGTAAACAAACGGCTAAGTTTTTTTTGAAACCTATTTTTCATGTTACTTATATTATATATGTCTCTATAATAACATTTCGTTATAGCAGCCAAAAAATATTAGGGCAAACGATGATGTTATAGAGTGGTTTGTATATGTATATATTTGGATTAAATCAATATCACAATCGTACACCGGCCGTGTATGTTCTTGGCCGAATTAATTAATATCAAAAGAGTTTAAGTTCTTAGTGGACCGACAGTATAAGAAATACTTTGCACAATTAAGTTACTTAAAAGGCAATTACAGATAACTTTTATTTAATTAGTATTGATTGGTAATTTAGATAAGCAAAGGTTATAACATGTTAAATCACACAGACATTGTGAAATTTTTACACTAGAGCAAATTCATATTATAAAAGCTCCCATATCTAAGACACAAGTAGGGCTTTGAAAAGGAAATATGGTGCAAGGGAGGGAACTGAGATAGATAGAATTAATACACTGATTGTTGGTGTGAGGGGATCAAATCCAGTTCCTGTAGATGCAAAACTAACTCCATTTTGAGCTCTTCAATAACTTGGATCCAAATATGGAGGCACATATTCTTTCACACCAACATACCTAGCTGCATTCAAACACAAAGTTCAGGCACAATATAGGAATTACTAACTATATGTGCAGAGGCGGATCTAAGTCAAGTTATGTAGGTCCAATTAAACACATTACTTTCGGCTCAAACAATATATATATATATATATATATAATAAAATTAAAATGTGTATATATAATTAGAAGGGCAGCCTTAGAGCAACGGTAAAGTTATCTCCTTGTGGCCTATAAGTCACGGGTTCGAGCTGTGGAAGCAGCCATTAATGCTTGCATTAGAGTGGATTGTCTACGTCACTTCCCTTGGAGTGATGCCCCTCCCCCGTCGACCCTGCGTGAATGCGAGGGTAGAGTTGTTTCCGTGTGACCTATAGGTTACGAGTTCGAGCTGTGGAAGCAGCCACTAATGATGGCACTAGAGTAGGTTGTCTATATCCCACCCCTTGGGATGCGGTTCCTTCCCTGACCCTGCGTGAATGTGATGGTAGAGTTATTTCCGTGTGACCTATAGGTCACGACTTCGAGCTGTGGAAGCAGCCACTAATTAATGCTTGAAATAGGATAAGCTGTCTACATCCCACCCCTTAGGGTGAGCCCCTCCCCTGACCCTGCGTGAATGTGGGCATACCTTGTGCACGGACTGCCCCTTTTCTAATATTTATAATCGGATGACACTCGTTCTGAATCCAGCAACCCGAGATCCCGCATTCAAAGTAAAATTCTTGCAATAGTAATTAATTACCAAAGAAATCACTAGCAAGCATTCCATTAGTAAACCTTCCAGTTGGAACATGATTAGCAAAATCCCTCCCATAAGGTGAGAAATTACTCTTGAAAGGAGTTGTTATGTAGTTATTATTTCCAGGATCAGCTGTTGAGTCTCCGAAGATAAAAATGGCTGAAACTAAACTCTTCCCTTGAGCTTGAGTTGGAGCTTCCAACATGAAAACAAGAAAAAGAAGGAAAAAAAGTGAAACATGCATATATA